TTTCTGTACTGTCTCTTTACTTATTCTGTGCTGAAATTCTCTTATTCTTCAACCTCTGATCTAATTTTGGAGAGTTGAACCCAGAGTTTGGAGAAATTATTTGGGGGGATTCTGAGACTAATCCAACAACAACATCAACTTCATGAACTCCAGTAGAAAGCAGTTTGAATGACACATTGCTGATAGTAGTATGCTTTCATTCCTGCTTTTTGCAAAAGCTTGCCCCCAGGTAAATACATCATTTAAAAATAGATCTAGAGAACTTAATGTTATAAGCACAAATCTATTATATTAGGGTTCTAAGTCATTGTGTAGACACTTGTGTTATCTTCTTATTGACTGCATTTAGTTGCTTTCATGCTGTAGAATAAAAATAAATAAAATAAAGATAGATATTTCTATCCCACCCTCTGTCATGAGATCTTAGAGTGGCATACAATTAAAACAACATAAATAGTTTAAAACACTTCCAGTTAAAGACAACAGAATACAGTTGTACCTCCATTTTTGTGGACTTGAAGTCCTCAACTCTTGCTTATCTGTGAAGGATGAACGGAGGGGCACAAAATACGGCGCACACCTGTGGTGCACACTCACTCACCCCTGCAGACACAGGCCTCCATTGAAGCCAATAGGGCTTGAATATTTGCATTTTTCCTTTTTGCAGGGGTGGGTGGATCCAGAACAGATTCCCCACAAAAAAGGAGGGGCAACTGTACTTTAAACAGGATAAATAAATCACCAGTTTAAAAACAACAGAAAAAGGCTAAAACTGTTACAAACCATAGGATGTAGCTTTTTCTTCCCAATCTGACTTGTAAATATTACCTGAAAAGCTGAAGGCCTTGCAGTTCTGACAGTATCTTCTTCTGATAGAAATCTGTCCTATTTGAGATGCTGGCACTAGAGGACTGCTAGGAGCTAGATAAACAATTGGCTTAATGCTTGATCAATCTGCCATGTAGCTTGGCAATCACTGCTTCCATCATCTACATGACCCTAGTTTTGAAAATGCCATAATATGACTAGTCTGGTGATACACAGAAAGCTTTTGGGCTGCCTTAAAATTCTTTCTGCATCTAGCTTTCCCAAAAGAAAACAAAATCACAGAATCATAGAATTGGAAGAGACCACAAGGGTCATCCAGTCCAACCCCCTGACATGCAGAAACTTCGAATCAAAGCATCCCCGACAGATGGCCATCCAGCCTCTGCTTAAAGACCTCCAAGGAAGGAGACTCCACTACACTCTGAAATGTTTGAATATATCCAGGATATAGGGGCCAGACAACTGTTGCACAAGGGGGCATCCCGTATACTGTCTTTGCTTCTTGTCCACAAGACCATCCCAGAACATGTTTTGACTACAGAAGTAGTCTCTTGGAATGGAAATGCCAGCTGGTAGGGATATAATTCTTCACTAATTTAATTCTCAAAGAAAGCAATGATTAATTTTACCAATTTTGCTCCCACTACAAGGAAATCTTTGAAATAATAATAATAATAATAACAATAATAATAATAATAATAAAATTTATTTATACCCCACCCTTCTGACAAGCAATTGGAGCAGCTTACAATTAAAATTCTATATCATATAATACAGGTACTGTTAAGGAAAATGCAACATGGGACATACAGTGATAGAAATAAA